AAAAAGCCGGAAGTGGCGCTGTGGCTCAAGTGGTAGAGCACTAGCCTTGAGCTGAAGAGCTGAGGGACAGTGCCCAGGCCCAGAGTTCAGGCCCCACGATCGAACCCAAAAAAAAAAAAAGTAAAAGTTATACTACTTCCCATTTCCCACTATATCTTTGCCTTAACAGTAAACCTAAATGAATGGCATTTAAAAAATTCCCGAAGGAACTTTTTAACAGCATCAGCTACTGTGGATTGTCTGTTTCAATTCACATGAATTGTTCCATCTCGGGATTTCCACTTAAAAAAAACAAAACAAAAACAGACAATAGTATCTAAGGCACATCCTCATTCATTACTTTGTTCAGCCAACAAATATTAAGCATATTCTTTATTATAGGCAGTACATACAGTAGTGAATAAAACAAAAATCTCTGTCCTATAATACATAGGTACATACCAGTGGAGATAAATCCTACAGAAACAAACAAAAAAAGAGTACAAGATTGAAAAGTGAGGAGAAAGTACTGTTCTATATACAGTGACATTAGAAAATTATCTCATAAGATTATCTGGGGTACAAACAACAAATGCTCTGAGCCAGAAATGGGAAGCGTGTAACTGTGATTTGGAATAAACCCCTATAGAGTGTCATTACCTCAGGTGAAGAGTCCAAAACCCAGATCCTGTTGGAGCCTGTAAAAATGTGAGCATTTATGCCAAGAGAAATGGGGCAAACTTCAAGGTTTTAAGCAGAAAAGCTGTACTAATTACTGTACTGAAGGTGCTGACAAGGAGAGCAGGCAGCTACACAATAGGACAGTTACTTACATAATTTCTACTTGAAATTTCCGCTGTGAGATAAAAGGTATCTTAAATTCCATTTAAGATATAATTTTGAGATGCATATTAACTTCTTAATGTAGATGTTACAAATATTTTAAGTGTTTCCTTGGGCGAGGTCTTTACTGGAGTTAAAAACTTATGAATCCGATGGGAGCCCGTGGCTCACGCCTGTAATCCTAGATACTCAGAAGGCTGAAATCGGAGGATAGCCAGACCGGGCAGGAAAATCCGTGAGACTCTTTTTTTTTTTTTTTTTTTTTGGGTCCGGTCATGGGGCCTGAACTCTGGGCCTGGGTGCTGTCCCTCAGCTCTTCAGCTCAAGGCTAGCGCTCTACCACTTGAGCCACAGCGCCATTTCTGACTTTTTTCTTTTTTGCTTATGTGGTGCTGAGGAATCGAACCCAGGGCTTTGAGCATGCAAGGCAAGCGCTCTACCACTGAGCCACCTTCCCAGCCCTCGGTGAGACTCTTATCTCAAATTAACCACCAGAAAACCAGATGTGGCCCTGTGGCTCGAGTGGTAGAGCTCTTGTCTTGAGCTGAAGAGCTGAGGGGCAGCACCCAGGCCCAGAGTTCAAGCCCCATGCCCGACAAAAACAAAACAAAACCACCTTATGAATCACAAGAATGCAAGACTTTTAAAGGCACAAAGTGATAACGAAGTTAAGACCACACAACCCTTGATATGTATTCATGGGAGAGATGAATAGGTATCTATAAAATATTCTGAAAAGAAGTAGCCTTGAACCGAGGGAAGATCTAGGGATAAGTGGTGTCCCATGCCCAAAGGAAGTATTGATAAGTCAAGAAGTGATCACGTAGATCAAAGCTGTTTGTGGAGTCAGTTAAGAACAAAAGCTCTAACTGTATTTGATTATTTGCTCTTAATTGACTTTCACAAATCCTTTTAATTTGGTGCTAATATTGGGATTCGAAGTCAGCGCCTTAACTTTTTTGCTTAAGGGTCCACCACTGGAGCCCTGCTCCACTTTTGGCTTTTAGGTGACTAATTAGAGATGACAGTCTTAATATCTGACTTGGAACTTCAGATCTTTGAGTAGCTAGGATTACGGGTGTGGGCAGAGAAAAAGGTTTTCCCATCAAAAAACAAAACAACAACAACAAAAAAGTGTTTGTGACTGTGAATGTGAGGTTTTCTTCACGTCCTTAATTGAGCAGGAAGAGCCTGCAGAAAACATGTTGAGTGTCTGAAGGGAACAAAAGCGACTTGGAGGTGTGGGAAACTTTAAGTGAGCAGCCCCAAGGAACATTCAAGTCCGCACAGCTGTTATGATTTCTTTCCTTGGGCTCGTGGAATGTTTTAAGGAGAAAAGCATTTTACGGTGGAGAGGTATCGCGGAGAGGGCAGAGAAACCCTCTGCTACCCAAACGGTCGGTCTGCAGTCTGGGGCACCTGGCACCCAGCACAGACAGACTGGAAAATCAAGTCCGAAGACTGCAGACTGGGCGAAGAAAAGAGGAAGGGTAGCCCCAAACAAACCGGGGTTTTGCTAGGGCAACGGCAGTAGGGCCTTAAGAAGGGCTTTAAGACCAAGAAAGAGCCGTGGGCGCCCGGGAGCTCTGGAAGGCTGCCATCGGAACCCAGACGATGTAGTCAGGCAGTCCCTTTTCAAATCCACGGGAAGGACCTAGCAGGCTCCCTCCGGGCCCCACGCGAGATGACTGGTTTCGGCGCCGCAACTTACGACGTGGGATTTGCTTGCTTGCGGCTGTCGGTCGAAGAGCTGTGCATGGTGGCCGAGGGCTGGGGGGCGGCCGGACGCCCCCTTTCCGAGCTGTTCCGCGAGTCCCAGCCCCGCCGGCGGCGAGGCGAGCGGCCGAGGCGGACGCCCGGGAATGTTTGCCGGGCGCCATGGAGACCGGGGAGGCCCGGTTCAACAAGCGGCCGCGCGGTTGGCTGGCGGCTCGAGGCCGGGAGGAGGGCGGAGGCGGAGGGGAGGGCAGAGGGTTGGTGGAGCCGGAGGACGCTCCGGACGACGACGAGAAGGCGGAGGCGGGCGGCCCGGGCCCCAGGCCCCTCCCAGGCTCTGAGTCTCCCGGCTGCAGGCGGATGGATGGGGCTTCTTCAGGCGGTGGCGGGAGCAGCGAAGGAGGCGGCGGCGGCGGCGGCTGTAAGTGCAGCCTCCACAACCCATCTCCCCGCTCCTACTCGCGTTTGGGGTGAGGGGCTCCGGAGGTGTCCTCAGTCCCCTTTCTCTCCCTCCCCTCCCCCCACCTCAGGGCGCCTCCCGGAAGACCTTGTACTTCCGGGGCGGGGCTTCCGGAGAACGCGCTTGCCTGGCGGGCCGCGCTGAGGGAGGGGGGGGGGGCGTCTGCTGCCGTGGGGCGCATGCGCAGCTTCCCGCCGTCGCCTCGGGGCTGCAGCCGGGTCTTTTTGCCTTTGCGGTGACGGTGGCGGCGGCGGTGGTAGCAGCGGCAGCAGCGGCAGCGCGGATTTCCCTGGCCGTCCGCTGCGGGCTGAAAATCCGCTGCGGAGTGAGTTCGCCTCGCCCCGTTCGCTTCCGCCCCTCTCTCCTGTGGACTCTGGACCCCGGCCCGGGGTGTGTCTAAGTGACAAGCTCCCGGTGACTCCACCTCTTTTCCCTTGTATTTCCTCTAGTTGTGGTCCAGCCTTGCGGGGAGGTTCCCGTTTGCACCGAGGCAGCGGGATCCTGGGCCGGTCTGCCCTCTGAACGGGAGGGAAGGAAGCGAGACGATCGAAGAGGGCTTTGCTGTGAGGGATCGAGCTCCTCCCATCATGTCCCTCCCGCCTTTGAGGAGCCTGGTCCTTTTAGCTTGGCACGGGAGACAAGCCTGGACTGCAGCCCATCTGCGGTCCTTGCCAACCCGTATGACCTTGGGCGAGTCACCTACCCCTCCTTGGGCTTCAGTTCTCCCTGTTTAAAACTTCCTCCAATGCTAAAATTGTGTGATTTTGCAGAAGAATTATATATGACCGGCCTAGCTACTCAGGCCACTTGAGCTTAGATGACCTGGAGTTGATTGAGCCCTCTTGCTTCACTCACGGTTGACATGCAGCAACATGTGGATTGGGTTGCTTTTATTCCTTTACCATTGGCGACAAACTGCATGGCTCAAGGTTCATTAATATTTTTTAAAAATTGCCTTGGGGTCCTTGACCTAGTTCCAAACCTTCTTTAAAAAATAATAGGCGTTTAGTAACAGTACAAGCCATCTTTAAAAAAAAAATAAGACAGGGTGAATGTGAGCTTGTGATACGATGGTTTGTCTCGTTGCTACTGAGGCTTTCTCTCCTTTAATCCAGATGGTGTGGTGGCTCGATTCTCCCAGTGCCTGGCTGAGTTTCGGACGTGGTTAAGATCCAACTGGTTGAGATTCAATGCAGACAAGACGGATGTGATGCTGGTAGGCAGGGGCACACTTGGAGATTAAGGGAGGGAAAATTCAAATTCCCTCAAATGATATAAGAATCATATTATTAAGCTGTATGTTCCAATGTTGGAGAACAGTTAATGGGTCAATAATTCCCAGAATGTGGTGATATAAAGATAACATTAACAATGTATGAACTATAAACATATCAGTTTGTAATATACTGATGAAGTGGAGTCCTGGATAAAACGGTAAAAATTATAAAGTGAAAATCCAGAACTTCTCTTTGAAGAACCAAAAGGCTATATACGTATTTTAGGCTGACATTAATAAAAAAAATTGTTTAACATAAAGATGATGTGTATTATTGTAGATGCAGGTGTAAATGCTGGGTTCCCAAATGTAATGCATTATTGCAACCTGCATTCTGTCTACTAAAGGAAAACTCACTTTGGCTAAAATGGCCTTAAAAATATGGTGTTTTTTTTTTAAGTATATAAGCATTTTCATCAAGACTAATTTTTACCTCTGTATCTTGAAGATCCCGTGTGGGGCTGTCACGTTTAGATACAAATTTTATGAGTTTACAAAATAATTTCAAAAAAGGAGCTATGGACCCCAAAAATTATTAGATTTAAACCTCATTTTTAGTGCTTTACTTATGTTCACCTATTTCAGTCAATCAGACCCACAGTTAAAATTGTTAAAAACATTTTTATGATGTATTTTGCAAGTAACTTTCAGTTGCATAAACAGATATGTTTATATGGCACAAAGATATATCTAGTGATTGAATTGTTGATACTGAATAAAATGTCACATTTATTAGACATATGTAAACTGTCAAGTTTATTTACTAGCTAGTTTAAGGTACTGACTAAAGGAAAATAGTGACATGAAAGCAAAATGAAATATGAGGGATCTATGTGTATGTGCTTTATAGCTGTTATGAAAATCATTTAATCATTTTGAATGTAGGATTCAGTAAATTGATCCAGCAAATTCCCAATATAATAGCAGTTCTGAGTAGCTTAATGTGGTAAAAATTAGTTTTAGTTTGCTTGAAAGCAAGGATGCCATTAGTTTTTTATTTGCTTGTATATGTACTGGGTCTTGAACTTGGGGCCTCAGGCTCTTATTTGGTATTTTTGCTCAATGCTGGCTCTCTACCATTTGAGCCATTTCTACAAGGAGGCATTTAGAAATGGGGACAAGAGATGAGGCATTTATTCAGGCTTTTTATAATGTGTTGTTTTTATATTGGAACATAAACCCACCAACCTCATATAAAATTGGTATTTACCGTACTTTTTAACTTAACCTTAAACATTTTACTATATAATTCTAATAAAGCTACTATTTTGGATTAATAAATAACAGAAGAAGGAATAGTACTGAACAGATCATAATTAATGAACTGTTCAATGCCTTTAGCTCTATCATGTCCTGTAAAAAGATATTTTTTTTGTAATGCAAGTATGATCCAGATTGTGTTTCAATAAATATTTCTGTTCAGTTAATACAAAGTGCTGAAGGAACTGAGGGTAAAGGATGAAAGTAACAAGGAGGTAGATTCTAGCCTACTAAAAGGATCACTGTTCCAAACATTAGAATTGTTTTAGTAAAAAGACAAACTTCTTTAATAAGTTTTAGTAAGTCATTGGAGGCATTTAACAAAGGGAGAAAAAGGCTAGTAGCTGAAGCATTCTGAAGGATTCCTAACTCCACTGGGTAAAACTGATTAAAGGCCCATCTAAAACTAGGATTCTATGACCAGTCACTGCTTTTTACACATTTGATACCTAAGAGTTTTAAGAAAGACTTCGTTTAAATTATGATGGCTCCTGAAAAATTTAAAGATAGGAGTATCAGTAGTATAAAAGAGAATGAAAGTATTCTAAATTCCTTAGTAATGTGTTACCTGTGCCTTACAGTATTAGAGCTGCTGCTTCTTGCCTCAAAAAAACTCCAGAAGCCATGTCTATTTTCTAAAAAAAAAAGAGGAAGAAAAATAGGATTTTTACCCCCTAAACAATACTACCATTTAAAGTTAGTAACATTGATCATAATATTAATAAATTTGAATGCTACTTAATAGTAAGATAATTACCCACTCAAAAATGGTTCTGACTGGATTTTCTACTTTTCAAGATTCAGTAGTTTAAGGGACCTGATCTGCTCTTTATTCCAGTTGGGATTTGTGTTGATTGTTTAAGTGAAGAATCAAAGATTGACTGGACCTAACCAAGTTATTCTTATACTTTATATTTCAACAACTCTTAGTTTTCCCATTGGTAGCTGGCTCAGTTCCATACAAACTTACTTTAGTGGGCGATCTTACTTCATCCCCCTGGCATGAAGCCTTCCTTTCTACTTCTGAGCACTTAGGGATTTTGTCTATATCCACATCAGGTCCAATCACATTCTTCTTCTTTGGCTTCAGCTCTTAAATGTGTCAAGTGAAAAGTTATTTTATTTCAAGTCAAAAGTACTAACATAATTCACAGGGTAACTCTTAGAAATTCTATACATGTGCTAAAATATTTATTCCCTCAAAAAATCCTTTAAAAAAAAACACTTAAAGGGCTGGGAATGTGGCTTAGTGGTATAGTGCTTGCCTAGTATGCATGAAGCCCTGGGTTCGATTCCTCAGTACCACATAAACAGAAAGGGCTGAAAGTGGTGCTGTGGCTCAAGTGGTAGAGTCTTAGCCTTGAACACAGAGAGGCTCAAGGATAGTGCCCAGGCCCTGAGTGGAAGCTCTAGGACTGGCAAAAAAAAAAAGAGAAAGAGAAAGAAATAACACTTTAAAAAAATGAAAATACTATACAGTACAGTTGTGGTAAACATTGTTTGTAGACTTGGGTACCTTAAAGTTTTCCTTTCTCTTCTTTCCCTTGCTTTTCTTTCAGTAGAAAATGTGCATCAGATGTTTATGTTTAATTGGTTTACAGACTGTCTGGGGACTCTTTTCCTGTCAAATTACCAGGTAATGTCCTTTCACTTAGCAGCTACTTCATGTGCCTGTAAATGCAGTTTATTCATACTCAAATTATTATTGAGCATGAGTTTTAAGTTAATGTTGGCTTTTTTGGAAATAGGAAAATGCTTGATAGAGTCTAGAATTCTAAGGGAATAGAAATTTAAGAAAATAGCATTCCTCAATATTGCACTATAATTATGAACTTTAAGAAAAACTGTATGTACACGTTTATGCCATGTATTTTAACATTGGTATGTTATTTAGAGGGAATGAATATCACCCAGATGTTTGACTTTACTAATCATTTTTAAAACTGCATTAAGAATAATAATTCAGGATTCGAGGGCGCAAAACTGGTCTTTTAAAAATAAGACTTCTAAACTTTGGCTTAGTAAAATACCTCCCTGCCGGTTTTAATATTACCTTTGTATTAGCTTCTACCATAGTAAATAGGAATGAAGTCTGCTTGTTACTTTGAAGTCATTGGCCCTGGCATTCATCAGCCAGAGCCAATTGGCAACTCCTAAGGTAATACATTAAAACAGACTCTTGCAGGCATTTTAGGCATTACGAAGAAGGAAGTTATCCCTCCATGCAGGGCAAGTTGGAGTTATTTATACCCATTTAAAGCAGGTTTTTTTTTTAAAATCGTTTTGTCTAGTTGTGAAAAAAAAATTGAAGCCGTGCACAATGATGCTGCTACTGGCATCACGAAGTGAGATCTGGGGATGGTAGACTCCCCAACAGACCCTTTTCTTAATCTTTGCTGCTGTGGCCAAGGTTTGGGGATATGGGATTTTATATTTCCCACCGAGAATTGCAATCTGTCCAGGAATAACCGCTTTCAAAGCGCAGTTCGCGCGGCCGTCGGGGCCGGGCAACATCCGTTTCCAGCAAATGCACTTCAAAAACCACTGGCTTGTAAAATAGATCGTGTTTTTCCCCTTGCTGTTAAATGCAGGATGAGGCTCCCCTCCCCCGCCTCCCTTGACCTCGCTGCTCCCCACAGGCCTCCTGGAGCTCGAGCTCCCCCTCCCGGGGCTTCGTGGGCCGGGGCGCTGAGCCCAGGAGCCCCCTTCCCCACACCCACCTTGGCTCCGCCTTTCTGCGGGCCCGCGTGCGTCCGCTTCTGCGCGTCCTCGCCGGCCTTTTCCCTCCATTGCATCCTAGCCGGGGTTCCGCGAGGGGGCGGAGTGGGGTGTGGCGGGCGCGCGCTCGGGCGGCTCCTGCGCGTTCCCGCTGAGGCGGCGGGAGCGGCAGAGACAGCGGTGGCTGGAGTCCCGCTGCCGACTCTCACATCCGGGTTCTGGCCGTGACCCAGCCGCGGCCGCCGCGGAGATGTGACCCGGCAGTACGGCAAACATGGCGGAGGTAAGGGAGCGAGCTCCCCCTCCCCGTCCCGGAGCCGGGCGCCCCCGGCCCCTGGCCGGGGAGGAGTGGAGTGGGCCTGGCCAGGAGAGGCCCGGCCCTGCCGGCGCCGCTGCCCACCTGTTGTCCGCCCGGCCGTGCTCAGGCGGGAGCTTTGCTCGGAACTTAGTTGGGACCGGTCCAGGTCCGGAGGCAGCGGAGGCGTCGTTGGAGTTGGGGGGCACTTTGAAGGGCTGCGTAGTCACGGGGTGCGTGGGGGGGGCGGTGGACGCTCGCTCTCTGTGGCGCAACTTTGCCGGGCGGTGGTCGGGGCCGAGGGAGGACCCAGCGCTCTGCCCGCGAAGTTTCTTCCTTCCCGGGCCGGGATGCTGTTGCGCCCTTCGGCGTCACCCCACCCGTGCGCCGCTGACACCGCGTCCGCCGGCGAGCACCTGAGGCTGCCCGCGGAGCCCCCTCCGCAGCTCCCTCCGGAGCCGCCGCCCGGCCCTCCCAGCCCTCCGAGCGGGCTTCCAGCCGCCCGCTCTGCCTCCCAGACCCCGAGCCACCCCTGCCCACGCCCCCGACCCACCTTTTTTTTTTCTCTCTCTCTCTCTCTCCCAAATTAACGCTGCTTCCTAGGTCACTATCTTACATTTTTCTTTTCTTGAAGGAAGCATTTCGTGGGTTTTCTTCACTCGTTTTCTTCCTTTTTCGGTGTGATCTTGGTATGAAACCCAAGGGTCCTGCTCACGTTAGGCAATCACTGCCCCTGGGCCACAGTCCCCAGCCCTGCCCGCTCACCCCCCCCCCCCAACAAGTTCCCAAAGCCCCTTTCTTCTACGGCAGATCTTGTGTATGTGTGGCCCTCAAAATTGGGTGGGCAAACAAGCACTGTTGGTCTATGATTAAGTAGAACTTAGTACATGTAATTGGAAATTTCGGTTTTGCTTCTGGTTTAAGCCTTTGGCCGTCAGCTTCGTGGAGTTTGTTTACCAGTTTTCTTGTCTGTGAAAGAATTTCGTTATTCTTTATTTCTGAAGTCTGAAATGATATATTTGGAATGTTCTGTCTCCTTTGAGATAAGCCACTCTTAAATGTTGTGTTCATAAGGCATTACTTTTGTAGACTCCACGACTCCGTGATTTCATGATTCCAATAAAACCTAAAAGTCGATTCAGGAAGTATATTTTATTTAATACTCCGGTTCCCTCTCGTTTTCAACTCCTTTATTTGCTAAGTGAAGTCAGTGGTGGATACTTTTTTTCGATACCGTAATATCATTTTTAAACCCTGGAATAAATACAGAAACATGGTTAGATAATGGAGGCCAAATGGAGAGACTTGTAAAGGTTTTCTAGAATCGCTGTTAGTATGTTATTTCTGCTTCTTTTAAGGCAACTGGCTTTGTATTTGTGTCCTGGTGAATTTACTATTCAAGTAGGAAAAGATTTTAGTGTAGCTGGAATGTTTGCTGCCAGTATGCTTTTTAAAATATTTAACGTTTCTGATTTGCAGCTAAATTTTCTTAGATTTATATTGTTTCTTCAAGTTTTTTAAGGTTAAATAATTATATTTCAAGGCAGAAAGTTAGCAGTAACATTTGGCTTCACTACGACCAAACACTTCAGTATACTGAGACTTTTCTTGTGAGAATCTTATCCTTGTATTACTTTTCTTCCTATATAAGGGAAAGGAGTATTATGTAACTGGATTTACCTTTAGTAAACTGGATTTACAATTAGTTTTCAGTGGACCCCCTTTCAGTGAATACTCATTATATAAACAGCAGTGTGCTATATATACACAAATACGTATATATATATATGTACATAAAATATGGTACCATATATGCTCTATATATTGTGCTGCTCGTAGTGGCTTGAACTTTAATTTCTGTACTCTTGAAGGCAAGATGTCCAGTAAAGTGAAAATTAAAATTAATAATTTTTCCTTGTGTCAATACTGTAATAATTGGGGTTATTTTTAAGATGAACTTAAAAATAGATGAAGGAGAATGGTTGGTTTAAAACTACTCACAGTACTTGATAAAACTGAGGGGGACATTGAAGGTTATTGAAAAAGAATGTCTCCACACAAACATAGGTATACTTTTGGTGTTTTTGTTGTTTCCTGCTTAAGAATGACTGACCTTTTGTATTTTAGAATACAAATTTCTTTAAATGTAATAAAAATATACACATTTTTCTTACTTGATATGATCCTCTTAATAAATTGGTATTTAATGGCTCTTCAGTTGTGATAACACTGAAAACATTTGATATGTTAGAAGAGCATATTTCCTTAATGCTCATTGTTTATCTCTTAAGATTATCCCACCCTCCTAAAAGGAGACACTTAAAGAATGGAAATTATAGGGTAATCACATTTTAAGAGGAAAAAGAAAGAAGAAATAGTTGATCCTTTGGGTTTATAAGGAATGTGATGTAGATACCATTGGGAATGAATAATTTGTCATTTGTTTCAGAGTTTGTAAACATGTAAGAGACTTCTTAAGGAAAACAAAAAGCCATATACCAGTGCAGGGCCTGTCTTTTTCATTGAGCTACAATTCTGTAATATAAAGAGAAAACATTTTTAACAGATTAGCTTAGTATATTAGTTTTAAGTACATTATTATTTCCAAAACTGATACATAAACATTTTTATTCGCTATCATATCTGTCTGAAAAGCAGATTCCTTGCTTAACATTAATGTACTTGGATTTTAGTTTTTAAGGAAGTAGGATTGTGGTTTTTGTTTTGTTTTCAAAATCTTGTTTCACTGCAGTTGATTTAAGCTTTAAATTAATCTCCATACTGCAATGAATTTTTTAGATTTTATATTTCAGAGCTATTAGGGGTTTTATCCAAAGTAGCCAAGAACTTCAGTGTTGCATCAAAGTCTTAAAAAGAGTAAAAGTCAAAGTACTTGATAACCTTGCGGAGGAAGATTTGGTGGAAGGAATAAAGAAGTAAATTACTGTCAGATCATTCTAGTAAACAAAACTAACTTCCCAAATAATTTAAAAAATACTTCCATTTGAGTGTATGTCTTCCTGAAAAGTGAACAGCTATATAGAAATTTTGTGCTTGATATTCCAAACATGTCCATATATATATATATATATTTTTTTAATCCACATGGTTTCAAAATACATTGCAGTGACTTAAACTTGCTTGGAGGCTACTCTGTTGAGCTTTATTCTGTCGTGTATAGCCATTATATTTATGAAGATAAGAAATGTACAAAGTACTACCACCAAACAGCTTCTTAAAAAATGATATCTTTCCCATGTAGTTCTAAATTTAAAGAAAAAACAATTCAGAGCTGGAAGTGAGGCTCAAGGGGTAGTAGTGTGCCTGATAGAAGCCACGAGTTCAAATCAGTAACCCTCTCCCTTCAAAAAAATTGATAGAAGGATGGACAGACAGATAGATATTCAATCTTGTCCATTTAGCTGTGCTTGGAGCAATTCATAATAAAAGTAGAGAATTTAGGTCTTAAAGGAAATTGAACTAAACTTCAAAATTCTAAAGTATTATCATCATAGAGAAAAGTGAAACTGTTTAAAGTTATGCAGTTTGTTGTAGATTGGACAATTAATCTCTGGCACAATTGACCGGAACCTAGGTTTCTGAATGTCTTGCTTTATTTTCCATTATTACTGTTGTCAGTCTGCTCCTTTTAACTTGAAGAAGCATTCCCAAGACTAATAGTATTTCTAATAGTAATACAGACTTAAATGACATAATTTTGTAAGGGTAAGTGTAATGGCAAACTTTTGGCATAGTACTTCTGCTAATTTCATCCTGGATTAGTGTCCCTAACTCTTAAACTTTTGTACTTGTCTCCATTGCTATGTGAATCTGACTTAACCTCTACATTCCTAAGGATGTGTTAGCTCAGTACAGTTAATTATAATGGTGATGGAATTGGCTTGAGAGGAACATTGAGACAGTTCTCTCCCAAATTACCGGATTTTCCCTTTGTGAAACATGTTACACTATGTTGATAAAAAGAATACTTGAATGCCTTTGAGGCATTGAGTATTTGTTATAACTGCTAGCAACTTTGTCAGTGAAACATGTCCATGTATTGGTGAAGGTGGAACTCGGTTGATTTAGCCTCATTACACTTTACATATATCTGTTTAGTATTGTGTTTGCCATCTCAGATAAAATAAATGTGTATCAAAAAGACAATAATTTTTCAAAACTATAGTTTATAAATAGTATCAAATAGTAGGCTTTCTTAAAAACTGGAAAAAGAAATAAAAGAAAATTCAACAAGATTAACACTTTCTTATTAAAAGAGTAAGTAAAAATGTGGAAGTGAATAATTCCAACAGTACAGAAAAATAGAAGATGAAAAAAACCCTCTTGACCCATTTCTTAGAAGTATTATTAATAGATTCTTATGCAGCTTTCTAAGGAAAAAAAACTGCATATTCTAGCTCAGTTTACTTCATGTTCTACACTTTCTTTTACTTGTGGGTAATTTAGAGTTCCCCCTCTCAACCCAAACACTTCTGTCTTTTTTTTAAATGGACTTATAGTAGGTTCCACTGCTTTGAATAACTATATATCATTTCTAACTAGTTAAACGATAGATACCAGTTTTTTCCTTTTTTTTTTTTTTTGCAATTGTGGTATACATAGAACTTGCTGTGCTCCTTTAAAGTGTGACAATTGGCAAATGATATCCAGGATGGTTAAAACAACTCATATTTCTACCCATAATCTATGAGTATATTTTAAATAAAGACTTGCTTACTTATTATTTTATTTTCCTTACACTTTTCCTTTCTGAGTCCCTGTAGTAATAAAAGACATATGTTGCAGGTTACCCTGGAGAGTGATTGTTACTTTAGATACTAGTTTCTAAAGAGACATAGATAATTTTGTGTTCATATTTTAAACATGCTTTAAACTGATAAACCATTGCAGAAGAGAGAGTAATGAGGAAGAAGGAAGAGGAAAAAATACTTAATAGTTTCTCTGGAAGGTATAAAAGGAGTCTTACGAAGACAAATGTTAGGGATTGTTAAGGTCTGCCTTGATCTGTTGGCTTTATATTCCTAGGTTACCAATCTATAAAAAGAAGTACATGGGCGTAGGTATTGTTAGCAGATTTACGGTTATTGTCAAGTAACTTATGTGTTTTAAAGTATATACTGGTATATAAATGTAAGTCAGTTTTGCTATTGTCTTTTATATCTAAATAAATTTGCCTTCATTCTGCACTGAAACCTCTTATATTGTGATACTAAACTCACATTCTCCTAAAAAGATAATCATTTTATTTCAACAAAATATATTCACAGTTTGAATTATTATCAAATGCCAGCAACTCATCTGTGATTTATTTGAATATAGTTAACTTGAATACAAATTTCATTCCTGCCTTGTACACTGATACATTTAAATTTTATTTTGGATATCAAATACTACAATGTATAGATACTAAATATATCTGCAGGCACACCATCCCTAATTCCTCTCCCCGTGCTAATCTAGATTTACTTTCAGTCAGATCATAGTCTTTGAAACCTTCCAGTATGATCTTCCTTAGCTTTGGGCTTTGTTCTATTGTGTGGCTTGTAACTGCAAATGCTGCCACTTTTACATGTGATATCTTAATGAGTAGAAAGTAAATGAGTCTTTTTCATAAATTTAAAGTGGTAACTATCAATAAAATGTTAATCAGTAAGGTATTTATTATTTAGTGCTGGTGAGTCTGCCTTTTTTCTTCCCTGGTGGTATTAGAGTTTGAACTCAAGGCATCATGCTTGGTAAGCAAGTGCTCTATAACTTGAACCATGCCTCCAGCCCATTTTGCTTTAGGGTGTGTGTGTATGTGTGTGTGTGTGTGTGTGTGTGCACGTGCGTGTGCATGTGCGTGCGTGTGTGCATGTGTGTGTGTGTGTGCTCTATAACTTGAACCATGCCTCCAGCCCATTTTGCTTTAGGGTGTGTGTGTGTGTGTGTGTGTGTGTGTGTGTGTGTGTGTGTTTCTGAATAGGGTGTTGAGGGTTTTATTTTTGTTGGTATTTTTTGTTTGTTGGGCATGGGGGAGTGCGTGGGGGGGAGCGTGGCTGGTTCCTGGGGCTTGAACTCATGGTATGGGTGCTTTCCTCAGCTTTTGTGCTCAAGGCTAGTGCTCTACCACTTGAGCCAGCTCCACTAATGGCTTTTTTGGCATTTAATTGGAGATGAGAGTCTCACGGACTTTCCTGCCTTGGCTGGCTTCAAACTTCAATCCTCAGAACTCAGCCTCCTGAGTAGCTAGGCATACAAGTATGAGCCACCAGTAGTACCCGGCTGATTTTTGGGCTTTGTTTTGTTTGCTTATTTGTTTGTTGCCAGACTGGTTTCAGAATACAGTCTTTCTATTTATGGCTCCTTTGTAGCTGGGACACGGACCATGCCTAGTGGCTTAAGCATCTTCTCAGTTTTTATTTAATTCCTTTGAAAGGAATTTATGACTGAAGATGGCTTGTTTATGATTGTAAATTAACTGAATTAAGATAAAACAAAATCACACTGATACTAAAATAAGCTGCTACCAGTTTTATCTTTAACTTTTCTAGTTGCTTATGCTCAAACTTACAAGAGATACAGTAGTACAGCAAAGGAAACATAATTAGTGGTTATCTGTGCAACCTTCCTCAGATAACATAACCTCTCTATACTTTTACTTGAATGTTGGCTAATTCTTTGACTTAAAACCATGTTATTTGGCTAACATAGTACTTGGCACTTAAATAACATTTTAATTATTTTTCCTTTTGATTTTTCATAACATAATTTTTGCTTAAAATATTTTTGATTTCTGCCTCCCTTTTCATAACTCATTTATGTAAGCAGTTAACAGTTTTCTTGTTAGCAAACTTTTGTGTGTTTGCGTTTGTAGTATTCACCGGTGAAAAATCTGTTTCAGAAAACTGCACAACCTGAAATTCTACTTCTTAATCCACATGTTTTAAGACCAAGTTTTTCTTTTTTTTCCCCCCAGAACTGGGACTTGATTCAAACAATCTTGGCTTTTGGCTTTTTCACTCAATGCCGGCATTGTACCACTTGAGGCACAGCTCTTTGAAAATCTGAATCAGATTCATATTGTTGTCTTTGTAGATTCAGGAATACTTAAGATTTTTCCGTCTTAAAGATAATGGAAGGGAAATGATGATATGGGAAGTTTTAATTTGTATTCGATAATTCAGACATTAAAACTTCCTATAGTTTTTACTGTCATAGTACTCGTTAAATAGTTCCTGTGAAGTTTGTGATGATATACTGTATAGAAATACTAATTTGTCTCTTTTCTCCTCTCCTCAGCCATCTGTTGAGTCTTCAAGTCCAGGTAAGTATTTTTTTTCCTATATTTTTTAAATCTCTATTTGACTAACATTTGTCCTATTAGTTGCATATAAAAGCTAGAGGCGTTAGACTATCATCTGACTTGCTTTTCTTCTGAATGCTTCTTTTCTCTGGGGAAAAAGAAATGGATGAAATGTTTGACTGCCCATGAAAGTACAGGTGAGGCTGCTGTGAGGTCTTCCTCATGACTATTTTTGGATTTTCTCTCTCTCTCTCTCATTTTGATTAATTATCTCATGTATTTCATATAGTTTTCAATTGTTGCTTGATTTTGAAGTATGTATGAAGTCTAAAGGATATCAGTTAGCTTAGAAATTGTAGGCTTGTGAAGGAAATTCAAAATGTTTTATTTGTGAAAAATACTGTTAATGTATTTACTGAAGGACAGCAAATTATGTAAAAGTAAATATTTAGTGTTGTAAATTAATAAAGTTATTCTTAGAATTGAGTTAGGTGTAAGTTGTATTTTCTGACCTTACATTTCAGCTTTGTATGTTCTCCCCCAAACATGATTATGATTCTTTTTTTGGGGGGGGGTCCAGTCGTGGGGCCTGAACTCTGGGCCTGGGCGCTGTCCCTCAGCCCTTCAGCTCAAGGCTAGCACTCTACTACTTGAGCCACAGCGCCACTTCTGACTTTTTTTTTTCTGCTTATGTGGTGCTGAGGAATCGAACCAGGGCCTCAGGCATGCAAGGCAAGTGCTCTACTACTGAGCCACCTTCCCAGCCCGATTCTGATTCTTTTACTTTGAGAAGTTGCAAACTTGTAGTATTTGGACCATTCTGGGCCACAAAAGAATTTAGAGCATTTGTATAAAATCTAGATACAGGGTTCTCCTCATTTGGCAGAACTGATAATAATTGGTTGTAATGAGGAAAAAGTACTTTATTTGTCTCTCTTTCCAGAAACTTTACCAAGGTAGAGCAACATCCCTATATACTTTCATAGAGGTTGAGCTTATACTTGGGAATTTACGTATAACTGCAGGAAACAAAAATTGGATTAAAAAACTGAAAAATGCTCTGTGTACAGTATGGGGTAAAAAAGAACCTAGTAAAGTGTGGCAATAGAGCACTCGGGCACTGTAATGTTTTATTTTAAAATATCTCATATATTGAGTATTCAAATATGATACATTCCACATTGCTGCATTTCACATATTATTGGAGCAATCTCTGTTTTAAATTTCATGGAAAAAATTTTAATGCTTAACGTGAACCCTTTTTTAATGGTCTAGGGCCTTTTTCCTAAATACAAATGGAATTGTGCTCTATTGTGGTTAAACTAAATTATTTCCAGACCTCTTTTAAAAAACTTGGTCAGCTAGGCATCAGTAGCTCACACCTGTAATCCTAGCTATTCAGGAGACTGAGATCTAAGGATGGCAGTTCAAAGCCCGCACAAGGAGGAAAGTTTGTGAGTCTCTTATCTCTAATTAATCACCAAAAAGCCAGAATGAAGCTGTGGCTTAATTGGTAGAACACTTGCCTGGAGCAAAAAAGCTCAGGAACAGTGTCCAGCTTAAGTTCAAGCCCCAGGACCAACACACACACACAGACACCCCCCCCACACACACACACAGACACACACACCACCCTCACACAAAAGCTCGGGAACAGTGTCCAGCTTAAATTCAAGCCCCAGGACCAGCGCACACACACGCACACGCACACACACACCACCCTCTCCCCTAAAAAACATGCTAACACACACACACACACACCACCCTACAAAAGCTCGGGAACAGTGTCCAGCTTAAATTCAAGCCCCAGGACCAGCGCACACACACGCACACGCACACACACACCACCCTCTCCCCTAAAAAACATGTTAACACACACACACACACACCACCCTCACACACACACACCACCCTCCCACCTAAAAAACATGTTAACTTTACACTAAATTTTATTTTTATTCCACCTGAAAAAAGCCCTTTTATAATACACCTAAGAGTAAAGTATATTTAAGCTTTGTGACATTTCTGAAACTCAGTGTCTGAAACTTAACATTCTTTCTAACTATTTGTTTGAAAGTATATTCTGGATGGTTGACGTTGGAAGTAATTTAACCTCTGTTATAGCACCATATCCTTTTTAGGATGTAGAATTAAAAAAGATTCTAGTATTCATTAATATATTGCAAATATAGGTAGTTTTATGAATTTTTAAGTCATTTTGTCAGCAAGTATATAAAATTAATTATTCTAAATGGTAATAAATGGGTTTCTCAGTTACCATTAGCATAGGCAATACTGGAAGAATAATGGAGTCAGAAGAATGCAAATATCTTTAGAAGCTTTTGCTATGTATTGAATATTTACAATGTATTACCTTTTTTTTTTTTTTTTGGTGCTGGTCCTGGGGCTTGAACTCTGGGCCTCAGCGCTGTCCCTGAGCCACTTTGTGCTCAAGGCGAGTGCTCTACAACTTAAGCCACAGGACCACATCTGGCTCTCTGAATGGTTTATTGGAGATAAGAGTTTCACCGACTTTTCTGCCCCAGCTGGCTTTGAACCATGGTCCTCATATCAGCCTCTTAAGTAGCTAGGATTATAGATGTGAGCCACTCACAGGTACCCGGCCTTTTTTTTTTTTTTTAATATAGTTTCAGGCTGAGAAACACATTTTGAGGTAGTTTTTTGTTGTCCTGAACTTCTGGCCCAAAGGAATGTTTTTCTCATAAGTAATACGGGTTGTAAGTAATTATGAAATTTATGAAAAACATTAGTAATTCCAGCTTCATGTAAAAATAATTTTTTGTGCACTTATAAAAAGTTTTGCCCATTGTAGATATATACTTTGGAACCAATGCTCGTAATAATTACGTGATCATGAATCGTTTGTGACTACAGCAGAATAAGACTATAGCCATTAGGTTAGGGGATTAAGAGAAGGGAAGAAAAAATTTAAAGTCATTAAATGAGTGCATATGATACATAAAATAAATTTATTTTTGAATCTTTGAAAAGATAGGATATATTTTAGTAATCCTACACTATGGAATTTTACAACAAAGCAGTGGTCTTTGCCTCAATTCTTAAGGAAAATATTTATACAAAGTACTAGACATCCTACCCTTAAAAATTTATTATTGTAACTCTCCCCTAGGAAACAGTCTAGCTAACAATGGACCTGGCAATTGACAGAGACTAATAGAACAATGTAATAAAAAGTCAAATGAAATAAAAGGTCAGTTTAAGAAAAGTGAAAGCTTATAGATAAAGGTATAATGTATGTATGACAAAGAAATTGGAATAAGAAGGGAGACATTAAATTGCACTTTGATAGTGAATATAGTTGGGGAATAAAGTGTTATGTTCCCCTTTCCCTGCCTTTACCCCTAAGGCTTGAGCTCGGAGCCTTGCACTTTTTGCTTGGCTTTTTTCACTCATGGCTTGAGCTCTACTACTTAAGCCCATACCTCCATTTTGGCTTTTGTGCTGGTTAAATAGAGATAAATCTTCCAGATTTGTATATCCTGGCTGACTTTGAACTTCAGTGCTCAGATCTCAGCCTTTTGAGTAGCTAAGATTACAGGTATTGAGTCACTAGTGCTTGGCTTTAAAGTGGAGAGTTTAAATATAATTGTCTTTGTAAATAGTGACAAAAAAAATGAGAGACTTTAGCTAGGCAAATAATTCTACATATGAAGCTATCTACTCACAAGCTTGATTTTTTTCTTAATTGATAAAGAGTATAATTGTAAGGATAGGTGAGTGTAGCTTATTGCAAGAAATCCCATTGGGAGGCAAAGATTGGAGGATTGTAGTTCAAGACTAGCCTGGGTAATCAAAGTCAGCAAGATCTTGCAAATGCATACTTTGGAATCAATGCTAGTAATAATAGTTACATAATCATGAGTAGTTTGTCTATAAACTACAGTAGAATAAGAAAATAGCCATTAGGTTTGGGGATTAAGAGAAGGGAAGAAAATTTTAAAGTCATTAAATGAGTTCATATGATATATTGTAAAAATAAATAGCCAAACATGATGGTATATATCTGTAATCCCAGCTACAAGATAGAAGTTAGAAAGATTTCAGTCCTGGACAAAAAGCATGAGACCATAACTGAAAACTTATCTCTGCAGTATGCTTAACTTATTCTTGGACTTACTACACAAAGTTTTTACCAAAAAGAAAGTGTTTTAATTCTGTGCATTCATTATGTGGCTCAGTGATGCAGAGAAGATCTCATCTGGTCCCCCATTATAATCGTTGTGTTTACATCATGACGATTTAGCTCAGTGATCTAATTGTGGTCTGCTAATTGTTTCGCTACCCTTAGTTTTATGAAAATGTCTCCCAAAAAGCAAATGTTGTCCCAAGTACAAGGTAACAGTTAAGATAAAAAGTGACAAAGTAAATGTTTACATTTGTTGAGAGGTGGCATGTCTTTAGTAGAAGTTGTATAGCATTATAGAGAAAAGGAAAATGCACTCTGCAGTCCATTACTGATCTCTGCATCTTGAGTACTGGTGATTTTTCCTCAGTAATGTTCTCCTTAGAAACCTGTGCTTGCAAATACCCTGTGTCTAAGTAGGTGTCAATAGCAAATGTTACCTGAATTCAGACCTCAGTACTACAAAAGAAAAAGAAAAAAAAGATTACATTAAATAGGAATTCATTATAATTACTTTTGGCAATATCTGTGTTTATTAAGAATTGTATATTAGGCCAGGCACTGGTGGCTCATGCCTATAATCCTAGCTACTTAGGAAGCTGAGATCTGAGCATCACAGTTCAAAGCCAGCCCAGGCAGGGAAGTGCATGAGACTCTTGTCTATCATTAATTGCCAGAAAACCAGAAGTAGCACTGTGGCTCTTAAGTGTTAGAGCACTAACCTTGAGCAAAAAAAGCTCAGAGGCAATGCCCAGGCTATGAGTTCAAGCCCCATAACTAACATCAACATCAACTAAAAAGAATTGTATATTTGGATAATTTCATGTAAACAGGGTATGAGATTTTGAGGGGGAAAGGATATCTTTGCCTACAGGGGAGAAGAAAATTATATAGCATCGTTCTTAATTACTGACTGTTTAGTGTCCCAGAAGATTTTTGGATAGATTTTTGGTATGGGAGGCTTTAGGTTTTTGTAGGTCTGGGAATTAAAACCAAGGCCATACTCTTAGTACATCTCTAGCCAGGATTCCCAGAGTTACCAAAAAGTTTCAGACAAAATTTCCCTTGAAAATACAGATGTAGACAATTGAAACTAAAAATATACCCAATTAGTGTTGCTCAAATTGTGCTCCTATGGAACCCTTGTGTTTAGTCCTTTAGCCGGGACTAGGGTAACCTATGGAAATCATGCTAATTTCTGACTTTGGGAGAAATTAAGACATTGTACTTTTCTAAATTCTTTTGTAAAACATTTAAGAACTTTATTGTTAATTCTGTTTTACTGTAATCTAGAAAGATCTAATTTGTTAGTATCAATTGTTTTATGCCTCTCAAAGAGCATAGCATTTTCTAAGTGCTTTGCCACTTGACTGTGTTACAATTCACTCATCTTAGTAAACAGAGGTCCTCCTCAAGTTTTCTTTTGAGGCTAGGATACTAAGGACTTAGAGAAGTTGAATTCAACCCAGAGGTCAGATTTCTTCTTTAATGCCTAATACTGGATGAATGGAAAGGTTCTGCTTATACTCTACAAACCTTAAATCTTGTGTTGTAGTGTTAGGGCTTGAAATGACCTGAATTTTCTAGACAAGTCTGTTATTTGAGTCACAGCCCTGGTTTTTGCTTTGCAGCATTTTTCAGATAGGGTGTCATGCTTTTTGCTAAGCCAGCCTTGGACAATTATTCTCTTCAGAAGCTGGTATTACAATTGTACACTACCAAATATGGGTCAGTTTTGGTGATGGTGTCTTTCTGACATTTATGTCTGGACTGGCCTCAAACCATGATCCTGAAATCTCTACTTCCTAAGTAAATGAGGTTATTGACATGGATCACCATACTTGGCTACTTTTTTCCCTTCTTAAATGAAGTAATACCTACTTTATACAATTATTTGAAGATTAATTGAGATAATGCATAGAAGGTGCTTGATCATAGTTTTTGGTACATAGTAAACAAATTATAGTTTCTACTCCAAAGACTATGGAAGGTGGCTGAAGAAACCTGAGCCATTGGTTTTACTTTATCCTGGGTTAAAAAAACAAACAAACTCCTAGTGTCTTTTTATTTTCCTTATTAGTTCTTGTACATAGAAGAAAGTGAAAGGATTAGTACATCTGTTAATATAGCACTCAAGTCTTTCAACGTTAAGTAACTCATGTGTTTGTTAATAATTGTGTTTGCAAACTTGTGTCTAGGTTTGGCATTACTCAAATGTGGAAATGGTTTATAAAATATATATTCCCAGCCTTTACAGTCTAGTATTAACAAAGATTGACTCTTGAATCCGGCAGTGTTTCCAATCACCAGAATAAAAATGGATTGGTTTATCAGTTATCTTAGATTATCTTTACTGACTTGTACGCATAGAATATTTGAATTTGTCTTTGTTTTTACAAAAAATTTCATAGGCACATCATTTAACAACAGGGATACTTTCTGAGAAATATTTTATTGGGTGATTATATAATCATCATAAGACAGTAAGCTCTAATTCCTCAAATAAGTTATTTTCAGGTGATGATATGTAGGAGCAAGAATTTTAAAAAACAAAAAATAGTATATACTTTGCATAGCTTTTTCCTGGTACTTTTTATTTAAACCAGACTCAGATAAATAATGCATATACACTAAACTAATATTAATAAGATACACTTAATTTGGTTTACCCTACTTTTTAAAATATTCTTTACCAGGAGGTTCAGCAACATCAGATGACCATGAATTTGATCCATCAGCTGACATGCTGGTTCATGATTTTGATGATGAACGAACATTAGAAGAGGAAGAAATGATGGAAGGAGAAACAAACTTCAGTTCTGAAATAGAGGATCTTGCAAGGGTAAATAATACTAAGAGCTAGGGATGAAGTGGTTATAGATTTTTTGTGGAAAGAGAAAACATTCAAAATTTTGGTTATCTGGTTTTGGGGGGAAGATTGTGTAGTACATAGTGAAAAGTTCAATATGAGCATACTTGGGATGTTTATGACATTAAAAAAAGCTTAATTGTGTAAAATACAATTTATTAGTGACTTTGTCAGACATTACAGGCCTAGACTATCAAAATGGACTATAAAAGGATTCTAAGCTTCCTTATATTCTCCTGTTTTTCCCCAAGGGTTGTCATCATTTTTCTCATTTTCTCATCAAAACATAAAGTATTCTAGATTGTGCCTGTTTCTTCCTCTTAAGGAAGTACTTGAGTTTCATCTTTTGCATATTGTTTACATACTTTCTCTACCTTACTTTTTTTTCTTCTTTCACTTGGATTTTGGAATACACGCACCTGTCCTGTTTTCTGTTTTTCCTGGTCAATGTCCTTTGCAGACACTCCTCAACTAAGACTTAAATGTTTGTATTTTGTGATTGTTAGTTTTCCAACTTTATTTCTTCTATTGTATGAATTCTAGAGATGAAAAACTCTCAGAATGGAATATTAGGTCAGTTGCATCAGAATCATCCATGAACTTAAAAAAGTAGAATCTTCTGCCCTTCCCAGAGCATAGAAATCCAGAACCTTTCGGGAGGGTGATGGAGTCCAAATCTACATCTCCATTAGGCAAGTTTAAATTGCATGCACACCAAATGTAAAAATTACAAAGTTATATGATCAGATTTTATAATCTGTATTCTCAAGTTTTTCTTACTTTATGTTTCTTAAACTGTTCTGTCTCCAGTTTTATCATCTTTGGCATTTCTTCTTGGATAGTTGAGCAGATAGCTTTATATTTTAAGCATCCAAAACTGAAGTTAATTGCTGTCTATTACTACTGTTGTTTTCCCCTGTCTTCTTTCTTTCAGGTAGTACTATTTATATTATTGACTAAGATTGAAACAAGGGTATCATTTTCCTTCATTCTCAATATCTAGTTTCTTAAAAGCCTTTCATTTCTGTCTAAAAATACCTCTAATCAGACTTGCTTCATCTCTGCCTAGGCTGCCATCATTTTTATTGTAGAGTATTATGGTAGTTTCTCACCCAGTTTCACTATTCCATCTTACTATCTTGCCTTCAGTCTCTTTCCACCCACAGCCATGACGGGAAAATAAAAGTCAATTTATTTTCAACTTCTAGGTTTTCTTATTATTCCTAAAGAAAATCCAAACTCCTAAGTCTGTTTGCAAGACCATCTGCATGATATGACCTCTCATCCATGTGTCACAGTACTACACTATCACACTAGGTGCTTCTATTGGATTAGCTTGTTTCTTCCTGCTTCAAGGTTCACCAGCTTATGTGTACTTTTGGGATGTGCTACCCATGGCTGGCTTTCTGAGTTTGGTGTTACCCTTTAAAATGGCCTTTCCTGTCTCCTAATTATTTTATTTTACTTGGTTACTTCTTAATTTGTATCCTATTTACATATATTTGTAGCTGCTGTTTGATTTTACCTAATCAATTTGTACATGTTTGTTTAATTTATGAGCTGTAGCTTCCATTCATTTTATAAAGAGAAGGGACATAAATTTTTTTTGGGGGGGGGAGTGGCGAGGTCCGGTTGTGGGGTCTGAACTCTGGACCTGGGCGCTGTCCCCTCAGCTCTTCAGCTGAAGGCTAGCGCTCTACCACTTCAGCCATAGTGCCACTTCCAGCTTTTTTCTGCTTATGTGGTGCTGAGGAATCAAACCCAGGGCCTCATGCATGCGAGGCAAGCACTGTAACACTGAGCCAACTTCCCAGCCCATGAATGTTTTATTTATCAGTATATTTCAAAGTATCTAGCAAAAATAGTCATAAAAGAAAAATATTAAATGAAATAAATGGATGGATAAATCTGATATGCTCTAATAATTATGTTTGATTTGCTATGCTCCATGATGAAAAGAACTTTAACAAAGTTCCAGTTTTTAAGCATTTGTAATATGCAACATAGAAAAATGAGTGTTTATATTTTTATAGTAATAATGATTAATCTGTGTTTCAGAAACTTATTTTGGAGCTCAAAAAAGTCCCATTGCCATTTAGTCAGAACTTGTCATATTGCCCATTTGCTGATTAAAGCTAGCATAATTCACACTGCCTAAAGTGATATTTTATTATTTTAAGCAGAGAACAGAATTCGTCTTTGTGGTATGTATTAGTTATAACAAAGCATTTTAAGGGTGGATTAAATAGCACATGAAGAGGTTGGTTCCAGCTATTTGGGACAGGGGAGCAAGATTGTGGTTCGTTACCAAATTGCTCTCAAAAACTAGTCAGGCATAGTGGTACATACCTGTAATCCTAGCTAACCAGAGAAAGGAGGGTCATAGTTTTAGGCCAACATGGACAGAAGCTGGCTTTGGACAGTGACCCTAATTTCTAAGCCTCCTGATTATAGGCCTATGCCATAGTGCCTAGCTTTGTGTACCCTATCTTAAAATCAGACTGAAAGTAAAAAAGACTTGCAAGGTGGTAGAGCACTTGAGGGCCTGAGTTAAATCCCCATTGATTGACAGACAGACAGATAGCACTTTATTACTTCATCTATAACCTGTAGCTACAGGACAAAGGGTTGAATTTCTTGTAGTTTTAAACTCCTTGGAACCATACCATATTGGTCTTTGTATTTTAATAATGAATAAGATTTTGTCTTTCTGATTACTTTCTTGCTTTTGTAGATGCATTAGTTATGTTAGAAAGTGTAAAGTATTTTACTTGTCACTTTGATTTTTAACGTAGTTGTATAAATCTTGCCAATTCATTTATAGTTAACAGTAGCTGTATATTGTGTTGTTTGAATTTCAGTGAAAATTATTGATAGAAACAATTTTAAATATTGTTACAGTTGCATGCATGTGTCTTGTCAACAAAAACTTTTAATTTGTAATTTTAATGATTAAATGTGTTAGTAAAATTAGATAAACTTGTTAGAATTTACTGTGGTAATCATAGAAGTAATGTAATCATAGATCATGTACATAGTAGGTTTTTATTTGCTGTGAATTAGTACTGAAGTATAAGTTTGTTTTCCAAATGTACTCTTAAGACTCAAGATAATTTAAGAATGAGTACAGTTGGAGCACTCCATTTGAGAGAAAAAGATTAGTATCAACTATTGTTATAACACTGTATATACTTAATATACACATAAAACCATTCAGCACCAGTGCGTCTTAAGAGCTAGAAGATAAAGATTAGAAAGGTTGAGACATCTCACTAAGAAAACCCACAATCACCCTTGAATGTGTAGTTACGTAGTTTCACTTTTTTTTTTCTTTTTTGTGCTTGTTCTAGGGTATAAACTCAGGGCCTTGCACTCTTATTGGCTTTGTTACAAGGCTGGCATTCTACCACATCTCTGCTTCCAGCTTTTTCTGGTCAGTTGGAATTGGAGATAACAGACTTTTCTGCTTGGGCTTGGACCAGTATCTTCAGATCTCAACCTCCTGAGTAGCTATGATTACAGATGGGAGCCACTAGCTCCCAGCAGGTTTCACTTTTCATAAAAACTTCCCAATTCCTTTTTTTGTCTTATTTCTGCATCTCTTCGCTAAAAGAAAAAAGTGTGTAAGGATTGAGATTTTCTTGGAATATACACTCATCCTGAATTACATAAATAAAAAATAAACCTCCAACATGGGAACAATAAATAGGAAGAATTCATGCCTTCAAAGTTTATCTTCTAAGTCAGGTCCCTCTTCAAGAGGTTGATTATCTTAGGAACCATCTTTCAAGTCCAATCTGGATGTGTCCCTTAAACATTTCCTACCTAGAAAACATCCTCCTTCCTCTCTCCTAGAAAGCTTTTCTTTTCATTTAGTTCAAGGCTTAGGAGGGACTTCTGGTGGTGGTTAAAAAGCTGTTTCATGCCTAGAGACAGGCTCAGTCTGAAGTCCCCAAGGCCAGGCCAAGTCAAGTATCTTGTAGCTTCTGGGCTTTGGGGCCTCCGAGTTGTACTTAAGGATGAGTAGCAAGAAATGTTTTTTGACTGGCTTAGCTTGGTAGCTTGACGGCTTGCAGTGGTTAGTCATATGTTCTCTTTTAGCGATGAGCTTTACGCCTTCATCTAGGAAGTAGTTCAAAGGAAGTTCCAGAAATGAGGATCTGAATGGGCAGAATTCAGGATATGTAGATCCAAAAGGGCTTGGTTCAGGTTCTTTCCAGGGCCATTCCACTCCCATGGCATGCAGGGTATTATCTTGGTTTTGCATCTTCAGGAGACCTTTTGTGCATTGCATTTCTCCTCAGCCAACACAAGAAAAAGAGGCACTCAACCTCCAGAGCCACAACTTAACAGTTAAAATAGTTCAGATAGAGGTAGGTCTAGGAGGCTTCAGACACAAATTGATGAAGTGGTTGATGGCAGTCTTCACACCTTGTTGGAATCTGAGAGCTTGTAGGTCATCCTTGTGGAATCACAAAAGAATAGGAGATGAGTGAGAATGACTCCAGAAGTTGTAACTGAAGAGATTTGAAAGCAGTCGTTGGTTGAAGGACATGAAAATCTTTGGGTCTGTTTGATCCAGACACTGTGGTTCAAATCCACACGGTCTGGGACAGGTGTGCTATTCCTAGCATTTTCCTCCTCTCTTCATGAGCATTTATTGTTAAGTTCATTTTCCTACAATAGGTATATGAAGAGTTGTGTGCTCGTCCACCATATGACTTAATTCCAATAACCAACTCCTGGAGCTTGATGCCAATCCAATTTTATAATCCTGTTCTATATCAGTGTTTCTTGACTTTACCTCTTGTCTTCATTTTGTTTTCAGATATGTTTGTCTTTTAAAAAATTCATTCTTTAGCCAGCCTCCCATCAGCTCACATGGATTTGATTATCCCTGTTTTTGTACTACTGCTTAGAATACATATTCTTTTGAGGCACGTTTTCCTTATTCCCATAATTTATCAACTCAG